ACAGGTCTCTGGTCTGTGGGCCTGGGTTATTCAGCTGGCAATAAGGATTGGGAGGTGTATCAGTTAGCTATTGCTTTATAACAAACTAACCCCAAATTAGTGGTTTAAAGAACCATTTTTTGTTCTGAGTCCACCAGTTGGCTGGTGACTCTGCTGAGCACAGCTAAGCTTGGCCAGCTTACCTCATGTATCTGCTGTGCTTGTTTTGGCTCAGCTCTCTCCAGTGGAAGGGCCCGCAGGGACAACTGGCCTGAGTAGATTCTCCTCCACATGGCCCTATTCTCTGGCAGGCTAGTTTAAACTTGTAATCATGGCAGTAGCAGTGTTCCAGGAGAGAGAAAAAACAATTCTCTTGTAGCCTAGGCTCAGAACTAGCACATTTCTTGCACTGCCTTCAGTTAGTTAAAGCAAGTCACAAAGGTCAGCCCAGATTTACCAGGATGGGGAAATAGACTCTGCTTTCTAAAGGAGAGGCTACAGAGTTATTGTGGAAAGAGCACAGATATAAAAGGGATCATTATGTAATCAACTTATCACAGAAGACAAACTCTCCCCTAACTCAGAGGACAGTGAGGGTAATAGGGAGGCCTCTGAAGTGGGAGGTGGCTCAGATTACTAAGGTCAAAGACTTGACAGTGCTTTGAAAATTATAATGCACCCCACCAACAGTGCTCCTGAGTGGGGTGTCCTACCTCACCTGTGGGACCAAGAGTTGCTTGGAGCAGGGCTGTGTCCCCCTCTTGCCCTCCTCTTCAAACTGAGGAAAGGCTCGCAAAGTGAAAGGAAATGGAAAAGCAGAGCAGTTATTGAAAACAAGTGCACAATCTGTGTTCTCACCCCCAGAACACAGACTTCAAACCCTCTGGAATCTGAGAAGCTAGCTTCTCCTCTGCATGCTCTCCTCCTTCTTAAGCTCACCACCCCTCTAAACCGCCCTCCAAGGGAACCTGGCATATTACTTGTCTTCCCTCTTGACAGCTGAGGACACATAAGGATGACTGGTTCTAGGTCACCAGCTAATGGGGGAGGACCCTGATTCTCTCAGGGAACCCACCAGGGCCGATTGAGAGACTATAGGGAAGAGTACCCTCTTTTATGTGCACTGCCTGAGTGCAGATGCATGCTGTTCTGGCCCACGGCCTGGTGTGGTAACTTACAGATGCTGACACAGGAGGAGTCCTGGGGACCCATCTCCACTGGATCCTCCATGAGCCTGCTCTTACATTCCATGGCTTCTGCTTCCTTTCAGTTTGCTTCTCCCAATCGTCTCCCCATTGCCTTCCCAGAACACCAGTAGGATTACATCACATTTCTGTTTAAAATAATGAGCTAATGTTTACTGAGCCCATACAAAAGGCCAGGTGGTGCTCTAAGTGCTTTCCTCAACTCATTTAATTTTCACAATTCTGTAACATAGTCACTATTATCCCCCATTTTGCAGATAAGTAAACAGGTACAAGGGGTTAAAGTGACTTGCTCAAGGTTACTCAGTAAGTGGCAAAATTAGGATTTGAATTCAGGCAGTCTGGTTCCTGAACTTGGGTTTTTCAGGCCAGAAAAACCCTCTCTGTAGATTTCTATTTTTCTAATAAGTAATAACAATAACGATTAACATTCATGGATTGCTTACTCTGCTGAGGCCTGTTCTGTGTTACTTGTATTAACTCATCTGATTCTTATAACAGTACTGATGGCGGGGTTCTTGTTCGCAGAGTAAAAGAATGAACTTGGCAAACACTCAAGGTAGGAGAGCAAGGCAGAAGATTTTCTTTAGAGAGAAAGCAAGAGGACAGAACTCCTGGCTCACGCCAGGAGGGGACAAGAGAGACCCAGGGTGGTGCTTTGTCTAGGGGATTTATAGGCAGTTGAGAGACAAAGGGCTAGGGATACACACCTGCTAAGTGGTCCCAAAATGTTTATCTTGAAGATACATTAAGTTTATTATTAGTCTTCCGGGTTATTTACAAGAAATTTACTGCTCTAATTTCCTTCCAGGGTAACAGCTTCCTGGTCTAGGAGCAGATCACTCCCAAGGTGAGCAGAGTTATTACTGTCTATCAAAGAGTATGTTAAGAAACTCTTTAACTAATTGGGTTTTAAAATGCAATTTTATCTTTAATGGAATCCTTCCTGTTTTTACTATGTTGCTTTGGGCTTGCTTGCTAAATTGCCCAGGTTGCAAATCACCTGATTAGGGCTGAAGGAGGAAAAGCAGCACTTGCCTAAAGTCAAATAGTAAATTGGGCCCCCCAGCAGGCCAAAGCAAATCCCACCATGGATTATCTTGCGTTGTTTTTTCCGGAAGCCCTCTCGGTACTCCATCTAAGCCCACGGTCCCTATCTCGGTACTAGGGAATTGAGGGTACAATTGTCCTCAAAACTGGTGTGGAGACAAGGATGGATTTCCAGACACTCCCGTTCCAAAGCCAAGCTTTGAACTTCTGCGCTATCTGGCTTCCCCATGGACTGTTCAGCCCAAGGGCCCAATAGGTTTATGCAGCACGATCTCTGCATTTTCACCAAAGCATGTCTTGTTACTCCGTTTTTCCTTCCCAACCAAGGCAAGAGACACGGGGTCCCACAGTTGGGAGCAGCAGGTGAGTGTCCCGAGAGGGACTTCCTGTGCTCATCGCCCGGCTGGCGCCGCTGCAGGGGACAGGTGGGTGCCCTGCGGTGCACGCCCTGAGGAAGGTTTCTCCAAGAGAGCTGCTATCTGTAGGTCCGCAAGCCCGGTCTGTTGCTGCTCCAGGTCCTCGAGGCCGGCTTTCCCGCAGGCGGCTCTGGATGAGCCGCGAATCCCGGGAGGGGGTTGGGGCTCTGGGGTGCGATGGGTGGAGGGCTGGCCGGGTGGAGGGCTGGCCGGGCGGAGGCGGCGAACCGCTGCTGCGCTCGTAGTTTCAAGGGCTCCCACGGAAGCACGTGCGTCTCCCGTCCCTCCTGCTCCGCCTGGCCAGCTCAGGAAGTCTTGGGGAGCGGAGGCAGCCCTGCCGCAGAGCTTGACTTTGACGGTTGCACGCCGTTGGCGGTGGAACGGCTGCCAGAGTATCGCGCGCTCCCCGCGGGCCTACAGCGGCGCAGCGCTCCTCCCGCCCCGCCCACTCGGGCGGGTGCGGGATCCTGGGTTGATCCAGGCCGGGTTTTGCGGCGGACTGCCCGCGTGCAGGTCTTGCATCTAGCGCTCTTCGCAGTGGTCCGCTGCGGGAGACCATGGAGCTGGACGAACTGTGGGCCGCGCTCTCTGGCACCTCCGGGGCTGCCTTGGTCGGCTGCTTGGTGGTGGCGGCCGTGGCTCTGCGCTGGTCCGGTCGCCGGCCGGCGCGCAGAGCGGTCGCCCGGGCACACCAGAAGCAGCACGCGGCCCTAGAGACCATGGACAAGGCGGCGCAGCACTTCCGGCTCCAGGTGACCGCAGGGCACGGAGTGCGCTGGGGTGTGGGTACCCCCACAGCACTTTCAGCTGCCCTGGAGCGCAGAGGGGCAGGTGGTGGGCTGCGCGGGTGGCAGGCTGCGCAGGTGTGTGGGCAGCAAAGGTTTAACTCTGGGAACCCTTCCTGCTCCTAATGCATTCTGTGCCCTTCGGAGCCAGGTGGTGCCAAAGGGAGGAAGGGAAACGCAAGGGACAGGGCAGGTTGTGGAAGGCCATTACCGCACACAGCTTTGCTTTGTGCCAGTGAACCTTCGACTGTTAGGACCCTAAACCGCAAGCGTGGGCGCCAATAGGATGCTCGGGTACAGGACTTTGGAATCACAGGTGGGATCACGGAAATCGGAAGCCTACAGTTCAGACCCACTGATTTGTGCATGAGGATCCCAAGAGGGGGCCAGAGAGGGAGTTGTGCAAGCACACAGAGAGTGTTGTTCAGCAGAGCCAGGCTGGAATGGAAGTCTCCCCAGCTCCTGCCAGCATCTCCACCTGTCAGGCCCCTTCTATGAACAGGATTAGATTCAGCCCTTCCCTGGACCACCCGTCAACAAGCTTTTCTCTCCCTGTATAAGTTCAGTGTGTAAGTGGGGGCCGCTGAGGGGCTTAGAGAGGGAGGTTTCCCTCAGGTGCATGAGACACTGGACTCGGAAGCCAAAATAGTGGACAAAGTACAAAATGGTTGTTCTTAAGTCCTGAGAGAAGAAAGACTTGCTCTGAGTGTTTGTGGGAGTATGTGTTTGATAGGATTCAGATCTGACAGGTGGGAAGGCATTCCAGGTGATGGGGACTGCAGGACTGGGCAGGGTGGGAGACAGGGAGTCACAGGAAATTGCATTTAGCAGATGCTTAGCTGCAGCAAGTGATTTTTGAGTTAGGGCAGAACTAGAACCTAGATGCTCAGCAAGACTATGCAGCCTCATTCCAGTGAAGAGTAGGGTAGAGATATTAGAAAGGGAAACTGGACCTTGGATGCCAGGCCCAGGATGGGGCCTTGACTGGGGTGAGGTTTTGGCAGGATGCAATGGTATGAATTTATTCCATACTGTGACAGGCCAGAATATGTCATTTATTTATTGATTTATATAGAAATGTATCTGGTTCCAGCCTCCACTCATTAAGATGGCTGATGTTTTTAGGGTGCAATCCAAACTGGTCATTTCCTTACTTGAACCCAGGTTCTTCTCTGTCTTGTCCCCTTCCTTTGGTTGAGCTCCTAGGTGTCCTCCTCAGAGGGCCTTACATTGAATTCCCAGCTCAGCCTGGAGGCTCTTGGCTGCTCCTGAGGCCCCAAGCCCTTCTGTGCAGCCAGCTGAGTTCTGCCAGTTTCAAGAGCTGTGTGGGGGCAGCCGCAAAGATCTCTGCCCACAGTTTCTGCCTACGGAACTCTCCTACTGGCAAGAAACCCACTCGCTGGCAAGGGTGTTAGGTGGTAGAAGGGTGGGGCTCCCTTCACTTCAGCAGCAAGCATCAGCATCTACCCACTTTCCCTCTGAAGCAACTGCCTTCTGATATTTTTAAGAAGAGAGTCTTTCAGGGTAGAAGTTTTATCCCTGAAATACATAAATCTGTTTATACACCCTCCCTGGGTCAAGAGGGCCTAGGCTCAGAATACCAATGTTTGGCTCTTGTAGTGAGGATGAAGATAAATCTACTTTCGATTTTCCAATAACCTTGGAGAAGAAATGAACTCCCACTATTTTGAGGAATCATCAAAGGGATGGGTTCTGGATGACAGTATCTTTGTAGGCCTCAGGACCTAGGAAGTCAGCATTTTAGCTGAGTGCATCCCCAGCCTTGGAAGGAGGGGCAAGCTCCTTCTCCCTCCCTGCCCTAAGGCCCTTTGTGCTTGGCTTCGGAGTCACTGGATGACTCCAGCAAGGGAGGTGATTTTCTTTTTTTCACTGATTTTTACTTTTTTAATGTGACTTCTGTAAAATGTAAAATTACCCACGTGGCTCATATGTGTGACTTGCATTTTATATATATATATATATATTTTTTTTTTAATTTTTAAAAATTAAAGTATCATTGATATACAATCTTATGTTGGTTTCAAGCAACACAATGGTTCAATAATTACCCATATTATTAAATCCTCACCCCCTCGAGTGCAGTTACTGTCAATGTAGTAAGATATTACAGAATCATTAACTGTTCACCATGCTGTACTACTGTCCCCGTGACCAACTTATATTGTGATTGTGAATTATCGTGCCCCTTTATCGCCTTCCCCTTCCCCTTCCCCACCCCAGCTGCTCCCCATTGGTAACCACTAGTCCCTTCTCAGTGTCTAAGGGTCTACTGCTGTCTTCTGTTTTGCTTTATTTTTATATTCCACAAATAAGTGAAATCATATGGGATTTGTCTTTCAGGGACGGTGAATTTTGAGGCTGTGTTAGCAGCCTTTTTTCTTTTGGGCTTTTTCAGCACAGCCCTGAGTAGCAATGAGGTGATCAGGGCCCTGGACAGGCTCTGGGAGAATTACAGCAGCTTATAGTACAGGTTCCACCCGATAAGAGTCTGGACAAAGGTGAGTTTGGAGCCCAGGTACCTCCAAGTGTTTGAAGGCAATGCTTGAGGAGGGAGACTCAATCCTAAGCACCTCCTAAATCACCCCAAAATGGCCCATCTCTCTCTAGACTCTAGAGCAACTCTAGAGCCAGGTATATTTCTGGTAACTCTTGACCATGTGGGCTTAACCTATAACAATCCTTTGTTTTTTTCCACCCTCCCCCCAAATTCATTTTAATATACCTTCTACACTGAAGAGAGGACCACTATTAGTAGGATGCTGTGGCTGGAGGAATAGGACTAACACCGGCTCCTACCTCTGTGCCTTTGCCCTTGCAGAGGTACACTGAATGTTTTTTTGCCACATCGCTTACAACCCCTTAAGACAAAGTCATACTGGTCTTCCACATGCCACCTCCTTCAACTGCATCTGACCTGCAGTTCCATCTCTCGGCCTTCTCCAAGCCCACTTTGAACATGACTTTAAAACTAAATGATTCACTGGATGAACTGAAGGACAGCATGGTTATTGTTGAGACAAATATCAGTGGCCTATGAAATAGAGCAGAAGTGCTAAAAACTGGGAGGGAAAATAAAAAAGACAATTTAGGATACCTGAAATTAGAACAGTTGTGTTACTGGGCAATCCAAGCTGGGGAAATCTCCCTGCATGCTTGGTGAGACTTAAGCCCAGGAGAGGGTTCTTGATTCTGATCAAGAAAGAATTCACGAATAGGTCAGATGAGTGTAAGGAGGGAAGGAATTCATTAGATTGAGAGTAGTAGTAAATGGCAGCAGCCATGAAGGTCGTAGAGAGCAAGGAAGAGCAGAGAAGGAAGGGAAAGTTCAATGAACTCCGGCTCAGCATACGGTAGATCTTTTGCCACCTGAAGCCAGGGTCACCTGGTGTCCAGGGTCTGTTTGAATCTGCATGGTGTGGGAACTAAGCCACCCCAGGATTTGGGTGAGCCACAGAGCACCTGATGGAATGAGATTATGTTCTGAGAACTTCCCAAAGGCAAAGAGGAGATTTTCGGGTAGGCTAATAAAGAGCATAATGGTACCTACAGCTGCAGTCCTGTCTGGGTCACCCAGGCAATGGGACCTTGCAAGCCCAAATCAGAGATCTCAGTAGCCCTTCCCTACTTGTCTGAAATAGGACAGCGATTATGAAGACATGTGCTTACGTCTAGAAAGCTGAATGAAACAGGAAAAATGACGAAGACATTTGCCACCAGAGGTGGAGGTTGAAGAGTTCTTATCTTTATCATGGAAAAGAGTTCAAACACAAGTGCAATCAGTGTATGTGAGAAAAAAGTTTATTTGATATAAGACAATAAACAGTCAGACAGGAGTGCGAGCAACCTCAGAGAGGAAGCATGTTTAAGGGCTTGGGATTCTCTTTTTTTTTTCTATTAGGGTATGATTGATATACACTTTTATGAAGGTTTCACATGAAAAAACAATGTGGTTACTACATTTACCCATATTATCAAGTCCCCACCCATACCCCAGTGCAGTCACTGTCCATCAGTGCAGCAAGATGCCACAGATCCACTATGTGCCTTCTCTGTGCTACACTGTTCTCCCCGTGATCCCCCACACCATGTGTACCAAACAATACCCCTCATTCCCCTTCTCCCTCCCTCCCCACCCGGCCTCCCACACCCCTCCCCTTTGGTAACCACTAGTTCCTTCTTGGAGTCTCTGAGTCTGCTATTTGGGATTCTGTCTTTTAAGGCTTTCAAGAATGGGGCAAAAGGCAGGGGTAGGGGTGGGTGGAGAGTAGGCTTGATGTGGTCTTATCATGCCACTTTCCAGTGCAAGACATTATGTCACCATCCATAGTCTGCCCTTTAGATATTCTGTAAGATAATTTAACACAAGAAATTTCTTGATCCTGTTCTTCTCTAAGTTAGTGGTTACCCTCAAGCAGTGGGGACATATCATTTAAGACTGCTCACCCTGCCTTAAGAGAGGGTAGGTTATTGGCTGATACCATAAAATATGTTAGGAATCTTACCTCCTAACTCCCTGATTTTTAAGATGGAATTTTAGCTTTAAGATGGAGTCCTTCTTGTTCTGGCTATATTGTTTATGTCTGGCATTTTTCATCTTAGGCAAGAAAAATAAATCATCGTGCTTGTCCCATGCCCCTGCCCTGCCTCAGTTGGTGACTCAGAAGGAGAAAAACACAGGGAGGAGGGGTGATGATTCAGTGACAGCTCTAGTGTCCTTCCCTTGAATAAGCATGCCGACAGGGTGGCCACGTTCTTGGTTAAGAAGTTATCTGTACACTTTCCTAAATTCTCTACACAAATGGAATTTCTCCCACAGTCACAGACTGGCCTCCTGGAGGTGCACACTTAACTTCGGTATCTTGTGAAAAGAGAAGATGTTTCAGCTGATAAACAGTTGAAGACTTTTAAAAATAGCTGTTAGCAGTAGTGTCATTAACTGCCACCACAAAAGAACATAGGAAGGAATTAAAATTTGGGCTGAGGATGGAGAGGAGCATGCTGATAGCTTCTAGCTGAGGTGCACAGGGCTTTGTGGGCACCTTGTAGTGAGGTGGGAAGCGGTGGCGGCCAGGCTGCTGGTGGTATTATCTTAATGTGGTGGGCTTTCTGGTGATTTTTACTTTCTCTCCATACCATTAGGCTTTTTTTTTTTTTTTACAATGAGCACATATATAAATATAGAATCAGAAAAAATAATAAAGCAATCTTGCTGTTTTCATTGTAAGGTAAAGAACGGCAAGGTATAGTACTGTGTATCTAGGATGATCCCTTTGTGCAAAAATAGACTATACATAAACAATTATATACATTGTGGGCTTTCATAACCATTATTGTTTTCCTGTAAGGTTTCATCAGAAACTATTAACCGTGGTTTACTTTTCAGAAGAGGAACTGGGCAGGGTGGTGCCAGAGGGTGGGGAGGAAAGTTCATTTTTCACTTTGTATACCTTTAAAAAAATTATTTCATGAGGGATTACCTAGTGTATGTAGGGAGAGATCCTGGTCCACTTTTTTCTTCTTTGTAGTAGCTCCCTGTATTGTTTTTAAAAAATCCCAGGTAAGTATCCTTTTCACAAATTAAGGGAAGAGTGTGGGGTGTTCCTGTTACTGAGGGGGGTATCCAGGCTGTGTGGTGCATGTGTGCGGAGGGCGCTCAGCTCTGGGGTGTGGTGGGTGGGTATGGGCTGTGTGGCAGTGAGTGGGGCGAGGAGTCTGACAGGACGTCACCCTGGAAGCACCTCCTGGAAGTGCTCTGAGGCCTGTGGTGTGACTGGATCTTAAGAGCAGAGGCAAGGCCTGATTGGGCTGTGCACTGTCTGGCCTGATGAGAAGGGTGGGTAGGAGGGGCAAGGCTTGGGCGGGGCAGCCAGTTAAGTGGCCCCTGGGTGAGCGAGGAGGGAAAGGTTGAGCACCCATGAGGGACTTGGTAGACGGGACAGAGAGATGGCTGTTTTCCAGAGCCACCGGGGAGCTTGGCGATGGATGATGTCGGGGAGGGAGAGGAAGGAGTCCAGGATGATTTTTTTCACCTGGATGGATATCTGCACCCTCCCTGAGTGGGTACATGGAGGAGGAGTCCGTGGGAAGTGGGGGATCAGGGAGCTGAGGGGGTGGATACTGAGAGGTAGACAGCTGTGGGAATAGCCTCATGGCCAGTGGGAGCTCAGCTGGGTCAGGCTGGGCGGAGGGTCGGGAGGCCATGGGTTGGATGGAGAGCCTGGGGTGGATGCCCCAAGAAGCAATTTTTTCCAGCATCAGAGGGGAGAGGAGGTACCCAGAGGAAGCTCAAGAGCCTTGTCTTTCCCCACATCTGGCTCCTTTTCATTCTTCAGATCACAGCTGAAATGTCACCTCCTTAGGGAGACCTGAGCATCCCATCTGAGTCAGTCCTCTGTCATTTCCACCTCAGGTCTTCCTGTGATATGTCCATTATATGTTCACTTGTTTATTTCCTTGAAATAAAGGCTCTCTGAAAGCAGGGACTTGTCTGTTTTAACTCAGCACATAGTCGGTGCTCAGAACGTGTTTGTTGACCAACTGAGTAAGTGGGTGACAGAAGCAGCAGAGGGCGGGAGGAAAACCAGAGAGGGTAGTGTCTCCGTGCTCAATAGGGAATTGGAAAGAGCCAATGTGTGGTGTCAGTACCTTTGAACGCCTCAGTGAGACATGGAACAAAATAAAGCACCAACTGTCTGTGAAATTTGGCAACAAGGAGGCCCCTGATGCCCTTGGCAAGAGCAGAGGAGAGTCAGGGTGAGAGGTGGTGGCCATGACTCGGGTCCTCCTCTAGCCGTGTTTACTGATTGGCCCAATACCCTTGAGGAGGAAGCGCGCTAGTGTTTGGAGGCAGGGGCTGACCCCAGAGACTGGGGGCCTTCGAGGCTTGGCAGTCAGGTGTCTGATCAAACATCCCGGCTCATTCAGAGAGCTCTTCTCTGACCACTCTCTGCCTTTGTGTTGCCCATTCACTGTACCCAGTTTTATTTTATTTCTCATTGTCTCAAATTCTTATTTGTTTACTTATTATCTGCCCACCTCTGAACCTTGTACCTTGTATAAGCTCCCCAAAGCGTGGACATGCCTTTTTTGTTCACTGCTGTTTCCCCATGCCTGCCTAGTGTGGTGCTTGGTACAGAGGAGGCAACTAATACATATCTGTGGAATGAATGAAAACATCCTGGCTGTGGCCTCAGCTACCCAGGACAGGGTCTTTTTGTTTTCACCCTCCCCTGCCAGGGGTTAGATGGTTAAGTGCAGGTGGACAGCCAGTGGCCAGCCTGTGCTGAGTGGGCAGAGAACTATAGTTTATCTGTACAGTCCTAGGCAGGGTGCTTCCCCTCTCTGAGCCTCAGTTTCTTTACCTGTGCAAAGGGAATGGTAGTAAGATTAAATCAAAATACAGAGTATACCAGCGTGGTGTCTGACATGGTTTGTAATGGTTTAATAATCAGCCTGAGCTTGGCCTCTCCCCGGGTACCCCCTCTGATAAGCTTCTAGAAGATATGTCTGCACTGTCCACAGGTGGAAAGGGCCTACCAGGCTGGGCCATGTTTCTGTCTGTCATGGATTGATTGGCCTGTGATTGAGCATCTGCTTGAGCAGGTGTGGGGACTTCAGGGCGATGGCTGCACGTGTCTGCTGTAGGCATGTGGGGCCTGCGGGAAGTGAGGGACTGATCTGAGGTGTCCCCCCAGAACCCTGACCTGGACTCGGAGGCGCTGCTGGCCCTGCCCCTGTCTCAACTGGTGCAGAAAATACGCCAGGGGGAGCTGTCCCCCGAAGCTGTGCTCTTAACCTACGTGGGAAAGGTAAGAGCCCTGTGATCCTCTGGCTCCTTCCTCCTCCCTCTTTCTGCACAGGCTATGGGGAAAACCTGGCCTGGAGTTGGTCCCTCTGAAGGCCACAGTGGGACAACAGTGCCAAGGGCTGCCAGGTGGGGAAGGAGCCAGGGCTGCATGTGTGTGTGTATCTGCATGTGTGTGTGTGTGTGTCTGTGTGTGTGAGAGAGGAAGAGGGAGAGGGGATGAGACTGACTGTGTGTCTGTGGAGGGGGGACACTGGGCCTGCTGTCTTAGCTAGAAACCTGGCTTTCAGCCCAGACTTCCTTCTCCCTCCTACCCCACGCCATCTGACACCAAGTCTAGTCTGTTCCCTTCCTTTAAGCTCTCTCCAGTCCGCCCTCTTGTCCCCATCCCCCTGCAGCCACCTGGGCCTCCACCACCATCTCCCTCATGACCAGGTGCCAGCCTCCTGGCCAGCTGCCCTCTCAGGTCTCCAGTTCTTGAGGCTCTGATCTTTTGCTCCTCAGTGTTCAGGGTCCTGTTTGGCCAAGGCCTGGAACTTGGGCATCAGCACCTCAGCTCTGGCGGTTCCCTGGGGCCCAGGGTCTGCCATGCTCTGCATGGCTTGTGCAGGTTCCCTTACCCTGGAATGCTCCCCTCCCTCTTCTTCGCCTGCTCGGGGTAGCTGGCTCTCTTGGCTGAGCCTTCAGAGGTCAGAGGGGTTCCCCTTTTCCAGGAAGCCGCTCTGATGCTCTTCCCTGCCAGGCCTAAGGTAGAGTTTCATCTTCAGGGCTTACTTTCTAACAGCACATTTCTCACTGCAAAACAAGGCTTGCTTATCTTTCTCCCTCCCATATCAGATGTGGACTTTGTGTGGACAGTGCTTGTATTATTTGTCTTTACACCCTAGCTCTGAACATTCTGTTTCTCTTTTCTTTTTAATTAATTAATTTTTTCATTTTAGCTGAAGTATAATTCACATATAATGTCATATTAGTTTCAGGAGTACAACATAGTGATTTGTCAGTTATATACATTGTGATGTGCTCACGGAATAGATGTAGTTACCCTCTGTCACTGTTCCAAGTTATTACAATGTTATTGACTACATTCCCCATGTTGTATTTTCATTCCTGTAACTAATTTATTTTATAACTGGAAATTTGTATCTCTTAAGCCCTTCACCTATTTCACCCATCCTTCTACCTCCTGCCTTCTGGCAACCACTAGTTTGTTGCCTGTGTTTACAAGTCTGTGTTTTTCTGTTTGTTCAGTTGGAACACTGTGTCTTTCATATAATAAGTGCTTAAGAAATATGTTTGAAATGAAATGAAAGGAAGAATTGTGCATTTTGAATGTTTCTTGTCGTGATTTCTTGAAAGACAGTGTGTGATAGTGTGACCACTGAGCAGGTGGACGTGAGTGTGAGGGTGGCTGATGTGTGTGCCTGATGGTGGTGTGAGCAACTGAAGCTGGTGGGGGAGAGAGACTGACTGTGGAGAAGGGACTGGCAGCCCCTGGGCTGGGCGCACTAAAAAAGACAAGACAGTCTCATCAGTTGCTGTGTTGCTCCTTTCTAAGTCCCTGAAAAGTTCCTGCCCTTCCTAATCAGCCCCAGGAAAACATTCTGGGTACAGATTGGCTTCCCGCTTCCTGCCTTGGGTAGCTGGAGACAGAGCTCATGCACCTGAGTGTGGCAACAGGGCCCACACCCATTTTTCCATGGTGCTTCACAGGAACAGGGTGTTTGTGGAAGCTATGCCTGGCCCACCCTCCCCTTTCCATCTTGCAGGATGCTGTGGGGCATGGCAGATAGCCACTGTTAGTCAAGTTATTCCTTTAGCCCAGCTCCCACCCTGCTTACTCTGGTATCAGTCACTCCTCCACGTGACTTCATGATCAGATTCAGGAGCTCCTGGGAGAGGGGAGGCTTGGCTGAATCAGGCGTGGGCCAGGTGTGGGGCAGGGGAGAGCAGGCTGGGCTCTGGGAGGCTGGAGTCCGGTCTCATCCTGCTCTGTGCCGACTGCTGACTTCCTGTGTGACCCGAGATGGGGAACTGTCCCTATCTGGTTCCTGCCTGCCTTGCTGGCCAGGTACACAGCTTGGAGGAGGAGGTAGAGTGGCGGGTCATTCTCCAAGCCCATCCCCTCTGGGGGTCATCTGAGGTCAGTATCTTGCTCTTTTAAGTGTCCTGGCCCTAGGATTACCTTCTCTTCCATCTTGAGGCTGAAGCCCAGAGGCAGCCAGGGTGCAGCTGGGTCAGATGTCCCCGATGAGATGGATTCTGGGTCCAAGGCTATTCTCTGTGCTCTTGGCTCTGGACCATGTAGCTGGTTACCCTTCCCTGGGTGTACTTTATTTGTGATACATCCCTGGGTATACTTTAAAAGGCCAATGTTATGTATATTCTACCACAGTTTTAAAAAGAAAAGGCCCAACTTCCCCATGCTCTGTGTCCATTTCTGCCTTGCCCAGGCATGGGAGGTGAACAAAAGAACCAACTGTGTGACCACCTACCTGGCCGACTGTGAGACTCAGCTGTCCCAGGCACCCAGACAGGGCCTGCTCTACGGTGTCCCTGTGAGCCTTAAGGAGTGCTTCAGCTACAAGGTATGCCCTGCCTTGGCATCGGACCTCAGTATCTGTCCCTCCCCCCCACCCAGCCCGGTCTGTGTCTGGGTCACCCTGGGCCTTCAGAGAGGTGTCAGGTCCAGAGGTCTGAGAGGATACTGTGGGTATGCCTGGCCTTGGCCTGTGAGATTGGGGTGGTGTGGCCCTGTGCTGCTAAGGGACTCTGACTCATTGGCCACATCCCTTGTGGCACCTTTCCTTCCTCTAGGGTCAAGATTCAACACTGGGCTTGAGCCAGAACCAAGGGATACCAGCAGAATGTGACAGCGTGGTGGTGCAGGTGCTGAAGCTGCAGGGTGCTGTGCCCTTCGTGCACACCAACATCCCCCAGTCCATGTTCAGGTTGGGTCTGAGGTGCGGTATGGGGGCAGGGGCACTTGTATCAGTGTGACGTGGGCTCACCCATTCCTGCTCCCTCCAGCTATGACTGCAGTAACCCACTCTTTGGCCAGACCGTGAACCCATGGAAGTCCTCCAAGAGTCCAGGTGGCTCCTCAGGGGGCGAGGGGGCCCTCATTGGGGCTGGAGGCTCCCCCCTGGGCTTAGGCTCCGACATCGGAGGCAGCATCCGCTTTCCCTCCGCCTTCTGTGGCATCTGTGGCCTCAAGCCAACGGGGAACCGCCTCAGGTACAGTGTATATGGTGGTTAGAGGGAGCTTCTGGGCCTCTTGCTGTGTGACCTGGGCCTAGCTTCTAACCTCTCTGGGCTCCAGGTGGGGATTGCCTCATTGCGGTTTTACTGGGAGGGAGTGTCACAGCACCCCTGCCCCTGGTTCCTAGTTTTTAAAGTGGTGAGGGTTCTGAACTGCTCTCTGGGTGTGGGGTTGGGCAGAGAGTGGCCATTTCCTGCTTCCAACATCCTGTGTTTCTTCTCCAGCAAGAGTGGCCTGAAGGGTTGTGTCCCTGGACAGGTGGCAGGTGAGGTCTGTGGTTCCCTCGGGGCTCTGGAAGAGTGGCGGGCAGGGGAGTTTCTTCCTGATCCACCTCTGCCCCAGCCTCTTGGGAACTGGCTCCCAGGCTACTGTAGGTCTGATTTCCTGTCTCCTGTCTGCTCACACTCCTGGGCCGCGGCCAACCTTTGCTTGGACCCAGCGACAGCGCCACGGGGGGCTGGTGATCTCTCTTCCCTCCCCTCCTCTCCCTACAGTACAGCTCTCAGTTGGCCCCATGGCCCGGGACGTGGAGAGCTTGGCACTGTGCCTGCGAGCGCTGCTGTGTGAGGACATGTTCCGCTTAGACCCCACTGTGCCCCCACTGCCCTTCAATGAGGAGGTGAGCAGGCGTGGTGGGGGAAGACATGGGGTGGGTAGGCTTGTCATGGTGCTCCCGGCCCTAGAGCAGCCCCCAGGCAGTGTGGGCAGGCCTTGGAGGCCCCACTTCCTGAAAACCGACCTCCCACCCACCCTACCTACGGCCAGCGTCAGCTGCTGCTCCGCAGAAGGCCACCAGGTGGAGCCCTTGCCTGCATGTGGCAGTCCTGAGGCTTCAAACGCTTCCAGGAGCCTCTGCTAAAGGAAGGCCCCACCTTCTGGTCCCAGACTGTGCCACTGGCACTGAGAAACAGGAGTCTCTTTCAAGCCCTAAACTTGAGGGAGAGTCCAGTGTTTCTTGGCAGGTGGGAGATCTGGGCAGGGTGGAGTGAGGTCCCCCTTCTCAACAGAGGATGGTTTAACAACCCAGTGGTTCTTGAAGCCCTGAGAGGGAGCAGAGGAGGAGAGGAGGTCTCAGTTCTGAAGTCTGGAACAGTTTATCATGGGATCCAGGACCTGCATTCTTGAAACAGGCATTGGAGGGCCTTGGCTCAGGAGACGGGGTTCCGGACCTAGCCTTGTCACGCTGCATCGGGTGGCCTTGGGCAAGTCTCAGCCCTACTCTGGGCCTGTCTGCACATCTAGACCTGAAGTCTCCATTTCATTATATGGCCATGCTTGCTTGCTCTGCCCCACCTGCTGAGTCTCTGTGGAGGTGTTTTTGTGGAAGGGCCAAGGGCAGAAGGAGCTGGCGTCAGTCGCACTCAGTTTCCAGTGCATCCAGGCTGCAGCCTCACAGCTGTGTCTGAGGCTGAGTAACTTCTCTGATCCCTGGGAGGCCTGCCTCTGGCCACCCTCTCCTGACCTGATTCTGACTCCTGTGTTTTGCCCCCAGGTCTACACAAGCTCTCAACCCCTGCGTGTGGGGTATTATGAGACTGACAACTATACCATGCCCACCCCAGCCATGAAGCGGGCCCTGCTGGAGACCAAGAAGAGCTTAGAGGCCACTGGCCATACGGTACGGCTGCGGAAGCCCAGAAGTCCTGGCACGGCCACTCCGTCAGGCAGGAAAGCCTTGCTGGTATCTGCAGCGGCCACCTCTCCCTGGCATGCTGCTACCCTGATGTTGTGTAGCTGGTCCCTGTGGGAGCAGTATATAGGGGGCTGATCAGGAGTACTGGGTAAGTGATTGATGGTGAACTCGGTCCCAGGCTGAGGATGTTTGGGTTCCACATTGGGAGGGCCTCGTCACCCATGGACCATGGTGCACAGCTGCCCAGAGGTTCCCAGGGCCCTGAGAGGGCGGGCCACCGGGTTTTGGTCTGCTCATCTGAGACAAGTTCGTGTGGCTCCAGATTTCTTTCATGATGTGCATTGTTAAGGAAGTCTTCTCTAGTCAACAAGGCTGCCTTTGTGGCTCCAGTGAGGGTCTAGTCCGTCCTCAGGCCGCCTGGGTAGCACAGGGGATGTGGAAGCCAGGGGTTTCTAGCAGTGGATCTTTATACGCCTCAATCCCTGCAGCTGGTTCCCTTCCTGCCATGCAACATATCCCATGCTGTGGAGATCCTGTCAGTAGGTGGGCTGTTCAGCGATGGTGGTCACAGCCTCCTACAGAACGTGTGAGTGATGTTGGGCTTTGGGTCTGTGGTGTGGTAGGATCAGGGGCTCCTCCTCACTGTGGCCCTAGGAATAAGGCCCCAGAATCAGCTGCCTGAGACCCTTCCCTGGGAACTAGAGCCAGAGGCAGCCTCAGAGACAAGTGTCATGGAGGCACACTCTGGATTGCCCCACTGGTGCCTCCAGCCTGGCATCAGCATCAGTGAGGGTGCCCTCAGCACGTCAAGCCCTTTCCAGGGACATGTTGCCCTCACTGAGTACTTTTTTTGAAAATGAAACATAGTTGATATGCAATACTATATTGGCTTCAGGTGTACAATATAGTGATCTGACAATTACATACATTATGAAATGCTCAACGCGTAAGTGTAATTACCATGGGTCGCCACACAAAACTATTGCAGTATTATGGACTATATCCCCAGGCTGTACTTTCATCCCTGTGACTAATTTGTTGCACTGAGTCCTTATTTCTCTGAGCTGAGTTTGCCAGGGAGGGAGACACGGAGTTCTGCCTTGGGGAGCCTCCGTGGATGTGGGGTGGAGCCCAGGCATCCTGAAGGACCAGCAGAAAGAAGTCCCATGTTTGAGAGGAGGCAGATGAAGGGGTGGGAGACCAGTGGTTAGTGGAGTCTCTTGAAGAGGGAGGGCGACAGGACCACTGAATAGATGACTGGGGGATTGCAGTGGGTGGGAGTAAGTCAGCAGGGATTCCTGGGAGGAGGGTGCTGGACCGGACCCTTTGTCTCCCAGCAAAGGTGATTTCATGGACCCCTGCTTGGGGGACCTGGTCTCAGTTTTGAAGCTGCCCTGGTGGTTTAAACGACTGCTGGCTTTCCTGCTGAAGCCTCTGGTGAGGACCAAAGGAGGAAGGGCTGGGGTGGGCTGGGAGGGAGCCGCTGGGGCTTTTCCCCCTCCCGTAACCTCTCTCCATTTGAGAAGGCTTAGCCTCCTCTCCTCTCTGATCCCCACCCAGACTCCTCTCCTTTCCTCCTGCTCTGCAATCTTCAGCCAGCCTGCATGCTGAATAGGGTGCTAACCTGGGACCTAGGGGGGAGGGACAGAGGGAGGAGGTGTGGGTGGCTTGGCCTGAAGAAGATTGTTGCCAGCACTTGGGCCCAAAGCTGAGTCACTGACTCTCTTGTCTTGCAGCTCCCAAGGTTGGCAGCCTTTCTCACCAGCATAAAGCCTCGGTAAGAATATTTCCCACGTCCAGATGTCTGCTCCCATTCCCACCCCAATCCTTCCCTTGACCTGGGTTTAAGTGTTTTCTGACAGAAAGAGACTAGGGAAGAAGCTTCTGAGGCTAGAGGTAGCCCAGCCAGGGCAGCAGCCTCTGTGGCCTTCAGATGGGGCCTTAACGTTGTCCGAGCAGGGTCTAGGTCTGGCTGGAGAACAGAGTCTGAGGGAGATAATGAGATGGGAGAGGCTGGAGAGGAGAAGATGGACCTGGGTGGGCACGGGGAGGAAGAGTCAGGGGAGAGAGGGGCTCTGGGGAGCCCACGAGAGACACTGCCCTTAGAGATCTGAGCTGAACGGAGATGCCCTGGGTCCTTCCTGAGTGGGGAAAACAAGGCATGAACAGCACCATTTCAGGCCCTGGCATCCTCTGGGCTTGCTCCTTTTCTTTATCACCAGTCATGCAGGGCCTTTTCCAGCTCTGGTTCTCTTGTGTCCTAAGGGTAACTAGGAATCAGGCCTGGTCTGGTCATGGCTCTGCTGTGGAGTCACAGCCTGAGCCCCTCCTGGGGCCTGATTTTTTCAATGGGACATGAACTCAGGGATTTGAATTTTGGTCCCATACTACTTCCCTCTCAGAGCCCCCATAGAGTTGAGAAGGGTCCAAGGAGGAATGGAATCTGGGGGTGTAGAGTGGGGTCGGATGTTGCCGGTCCTGTGACTGTGACCATCATGGCTGCTGACCTCACTCCTTTACCCAGGTCAGCCGGAAAGCTCTGGGAACTGCAGCATGAAATTGAGGTGAGAGGCCAGGCCCCTGGATGAGAGTAGGTGGGTGGGGTGGAGTTGGACAGGGCCCCTGCCAGTGGCGTCTCCTGGCCATTGGTCCCATTCATTCCTCTTTCCCCTTCCTGGACGGGGCCACTTGAGCCCTGCTTCCAGCCCTCACTGGTGGGATGCTTGTGCTTGGTGGCTGGGTAAGCCTAGGGCTCTGGTTCTGGAAGCTCTTCATCCCTCTGGTGTGCCTGTGGCCAGGAACTACATGGTCCTACCCTGGCAGGAAGAATGGGGTCTATGGTTCATGTCAGAGGTGGAACAGCCAGTGCTCCCAAAAGCAGCCAGGCCTTTTGCTTGGAGATCCTCCACCCATTGTGGTGCAGTTTGGATCCTGGGGCAGATGCTGAGGAGGGAGCCAGTCCAGCCAGAGCCCCTGCCCTGGAGAGTCCTTGTGATGGGTTGGGGTGCTGGTGTCCTCCACAGCTGTACCGCAACTCCGTGATCGCCCAGTGGAGAGCACTGGACCTGGATGTGCTGCTCACCCCCATGCTGGGCCCTGCTTTGGACCTGAACGCCCCAGGCAGGGCCACAGGTGAGGCCTGCTGCCCCAGCACACCCCTGACATGCCCACCTGTCTCTTCTCTGCTCTGAGTTCAGTCCTGTGCCCAGAGGGGCTGCTGGGAAGGAGAAGAAGAGGTGCCCTGGGTAGGGGCTGCACCCTGGAGGAGGACCCTGCCGTTTGGGGTCACAGTCTGGCTGGCTGGAGAGGTGGGAGTCCCGGGGGATGCCCTAGGAGGGAGTGAGCTCCCTGTCATTAACGCTATCCCAGTTGGAGATCTCAGTTAGCGTCTGTGGTTTGGGAGGGGGACAGTGTTTGCCGTCCAGGTGAGATTTAGATAAACCAAGAAAATAGCAACATTCCAGGTGAGGGAAGCTACATGGGCAAAGGCCCTCAGATCTCAGCCCTGGGAGAGCTTCTCCCTGCCTGTGGAGGTATGGTGCCATCTCACAGGGGGGAATACTGAGGCTGGAAAGGAAAGCTGGCCCGGAGGCCTGCCAGCCTGCTGCAGCCACCTATGCTCCGTCTCAGGGGCTGTCAGCTACACTGTGCTCTACAACTGCCTGGACTTCCCAGCTGGGGTGGTACCTGTCACCACAGTGACTGCCGAGGACGAGGCCCAGATGGAACATTACAGGGGCTACTTTGGGGATATGTGGGACAAGGTGCTGCAGAAGGTAAGGTCATGGGGCCTGGCTTACCCCCTACCCGGACCTCCCTCCCTCTGGACTCAAGCCTGCACTCTAGCTCTCGCTGCCATGAGGGCAACAGCATGAGCAGGATCCTTGCCCATCTTCCTTAACACAAGAGCCCTAAAGGCTGAGGCCTAGCCCTTGCCCCTCCTCTCCAGCCATGGTGCTTCCTGGGCTCAGTGGGGTCCTGCTTCCCATCCTGACGCCTGTTTCCCCTGCAGGCCATGAGGAATAGCGTGGGGCTGCCCGTGGCTGTGCAGTGCGTGGCCCTGCCCTGGCAGGAAGAGTTGTGTCTGCGGTTCATGCGGGAGGTGGAGCGACTGATGACCTCTGAGAAACAGTCATCCTGACTGCTGCCTGGCTCCGGAGGACCTAAGACCCACTTGTCAGGGCACAGCTGCCACCTGGAGAGGAAATGTTCAGCCCAGAGCAGAGGCTTCCATGTCCCCCTCCCCTGGCCTCCTCTAAGAACTGCAGACCCCTAGAATCTGGACCTTACTCCCCGCTCTCCCCTCTCTGCCCTGACCCTCCATGTGGCAGCCAGTGGGTGTGGCATGGGCAAAGGCCCACTAACAGCCAAGAAAGTTTCCTAGTCTGTATACTTTCTAGCTGTCCTTGGTGGGCCCAGGCTGGGAGTTGGAGACTTGACCTTCTAAAGCCCGACTTCAGCCATGTCAGCCTCTTGCTCTGAAGCTCCCCTGGTTCCCATCACCCACAGGATGCAGTCCCAGCTAGGCTCTGCAGCCCCAGCTCTCCCCTCCCAGTCCCCTCACCAAGACTAGCCCCTACTTAGCTGGACGTTGCCCTTTCTCTTCCTTCCTTTGCTCTTCCCTCTGTCGGGGATGCCCTTTCTGCCACCCTCCCATTAAATCTTTTGAGGCCCAGCTCAGATCCCTCTCTCCAGAAAGCCTTCCCTCCTTCCTTTGAGCCCCCAAGTAGGTGGGCTGTTGCCTCCCAGTCTGCCCTGCGGTGACTTTGCGTCCCTTAGCACACTGGGTGTCCTTGACAGCAGGGATGTGTTGCCACATCTTTATCTTCAGTGGCCAGCACAGGGCTGGGCACAGGGCAGCAGGGAGTCTGGAGTGCTGGACCTGAGCTAGGGCTGCTGGGGAGAGGAGCCCACAGGCCTGGGGAGGCATGCCCGGTAGAGAGGCTATCTGTTAGAGAGTGCTCAAAGGTCCAGATTGTTCTGGCCAAGTCTAGAAGGGTCCCAGAGGCAGAGATAGGCAATGAAAACATCCCAGGGAAAAGGAACCATACTCCTTAAGACCAGGATGAACGGTAGATGGAGGTCTTGAATGGACACAGGAGAAGCAGCAGACGTGTAGGTGGGGCCAGTTCAGGAACCTGGGTCCTCTCAAGGGCAATGAGGATCTCTTGAAGGATCACAAAGGTACAGCAAGGAGAGTAGACTAGAGGCATAGAGCCTAGAGAGGGATAAAGGGGCTGCTCCATAATCCTAATCTAGGGAAGGGGGCCTGAGACGTGAGCTAAGGCAGTGGCCCATGGGTAGGGAGAGGGAGGTTTGGGGGCTGACAGTTGGAATGGAAGTGAGCTGCTCAGTTCAGAGTCCCACCTCTACCCTCTTGAGTCTGCCAGCTCACCTCTTACTGGGTTGTGTTGCCTGGCGCAGGGAAGGGTGGCTAGTCTGTGGCAGGCTCTAAGGCTTCTTGGCTCTGCTTAGCTGAGCCCCGAGCTCCCACCCTGGCCCCAGTCCCAACCCCTTTGCTTGCTGTGCAGCATATTCCTGAGCCGGAGCCCTTGGCCAGGGCAGGACCATGGCTTCACTGGGCCTACTCAGGTTCTTTCCAGGGAAAGCTGCCTTCCCTAGGCTTTTCTCCACCCTCACGTACATGTCTTCCTCAGAGGCTTTCTCTAGGTTGGGTGCCGCACAGAACCTGTGCTTTCCACTGATGGTGTCCCTGCCTTGGTGGAGTCAGTCTCAGGGCAGACATGAGGCCACACACCTCATGGCTGGCTACAGGGCCCAACCCACAGGAACACCTACACTGGGGTTACCAGGTAGTTACTGGACATTGCCCCAATTCTTGGTAACTGTGGTGTTATTTTGCCCCTTACTGTTCCATAAACCACCTGTTATCTGCCCCAGCCACCGGCTCCCCCTCCATTTCTCCTGTTGGTTACAGATACCCTTGTGCTTCGAGACTTGGGGCTGCAGAGTGAGGGCACACTCCTTCATTCCTTCCCTGGCTCACTGACTAGCCCTTGGGGCCCCAGCCTGGCCACACCCAGCGCTGTGCTGAGCAGTGCCAGAGCCCAGCCAAGCCTGGCCCCCATCCTGAGGCTCCTGGGCTTGATGGGGTGGTGGACCCTGACACACACATCTGCTGCCCAGGTGTGTAGGCACAGGACCCAGGTGCTGCTGAGGCAGGAGCGGGCAGCAGGCACTGCAGCAAGTGAGTGTCCGCTGCATTCCATCACCACCACACTCCAGGCCAAGCACCTGCCTTGCATCTGGACACCGCAGGAACCTCCCTGGGCCCCCTGCTTCCACCCTCACCTGTCCTCTGGTCCATTTTCTATACAGTAGCCAGAGACCCAGGTGCTGCTGAGGCAGGAGCGGGCAGCAGGCACTGCAGCAAGTGAGTGTCCGCTGCATTCCATCACCACCACACTCCAGGCCAAGCACCTGCCTTGCATCTGGACACCGCAGGAACCTCCCTGGGCCCCCTGCTTCCACCCTCACCTGTCCTCTGGTCCATTTTCTATACAGTAGCCAGAGTGATTCTTTAAACCAGTCACTTCTCTCCTAAGACCTTCCAATGGCTTCCCATCCCATCAAAAATAAAACGCAGTCTCCTTGTGGCTTACAAGGCTCTATGTGACATGGCTCGTGTTCACCTCTCCAGCCTCATCCTGCGGCTGTCTTATTCCTGGTGCTCCAACCACAAAAGTGCTTTTTGGTTTCTTGATTGTCTCAAACTGGTCCCTGCTTCAGAGTTTTGTGGTAGCTGTCCCCTCTGCTTCTGACACTCAGCTCCAGTGTCATCTTCCCTGATCAGCATCCCCTGACATTGTCTAGCATGTCACCCTTTTACTTTATAGCATTAACACTACCTGGAGTTACGGGGTTTTTTTGTCTCCTCTACTCAAAGGCTTCCTGAAAGCTGTACTTTCTCGTGTTCATGACTATATTCTTGGCATATGGAATCCTGCTTATAAGGTGTTCAATTAATTCAGTGAATATTAAGGGAGCCTCTTATAGGGGCCGGGCACTGGGTGGGTGCTGGGACTGCAGAGATAAATGAGACAGGCTAGGTTGGCCTCTCGGAGCTTACATTCGGGAGGGCCTGTGTTGAGTGAAGGAGGAGAGGGTGCAGGTGGGTGGGTGTGCTAGTGAAGCCCCTAAATATGTGATGCATGGAATGGTAGCTGACTTGATGGGAAAAGGGGAAGGGCATTCTGAATAACATTTACCAAGCATCCCCTATGAACCATCAACCTTCAAGGCACTTTATAGTTATGTCATTTAATCTTATTAACCCTATTGTAGGCATTTTTGTCCTCATTTAACAGAAAGTTACAGCTACAAAAAGGGGATTAGAATAAAAACCTGGGTCAGTCTATATCAGAGCCCCAGCAGTGAGCTCTTCTTGGTGTCTCATGTTGCTGAGGCACAAAGGAGTCACCACACAAGCCAGCCCCTCCTCTTCCCAGTCTACCAGTCCCGTGGCCTCAAGACCCTTTAAGTCACATGGCTACTGCCCATTCTCAGCCTTTCCCCCTCCCCCAGGCCCACTGCCACTGCTTGCCTGGCCTCCCCTGCCTCCAGACTGGTCTTCTCCAATTGTCCTTCATATAGAAGTTGAGTGACTTGTAAGTGCAAATCTGATCATGCCTAAGACCTCTATCGCTTTTGTGCTCAGTACAGACTCCTGGCTGTCATCAGAGCCTCACAGCCATGCTTGATCAAACTGTACTGCCAACCACTCCGGTCTCCCTGCCTCCTGAGCACCCACATCCTGGACCTGTGGCCCTCAGGCAGGGACAGTGTACACCTCCCACCCCCAGGCCCTTTGCTTGTTTCCTGTTCTGCCTGGAATGCCCTTCCTCATACCTCTACCTAGTTTACAGTCGTCAGGCTGTGTTGAAAGGGCTCCTTGGTGCTTCTGTTGAGGCTCAAAAGCAGGGACTATGTCTTCACAATAGAGTCCAACAGCTATTAGGCTGTAGAGTTGACAATCCATTATCTCTCATGGGAAAAAACTGGGCATTATTGCTTCTACTTTATAGGTGGGAAAACAGGTTCAGAGATGGTTGCTGATTTTTTCTAAGCTAAAGACTTGAACCCACCTGCCCAACTCCAAACCTAGTGTACATGTGTGGTTTGCACCATCACCCCAAGAACAGGCACTAAACACTCTCAAGGTGCCAGGTTCTGTGCTAGGTGACCACAAACACTGGAGACAGAAGCACTGTCCATGCACTGGGCTCCTTTGCTGCTGTCAATTTGCAGGAGGTGTCACGTCCCTGTCCACCCTCCCTTTCCCTCCCTGGGGTTGTGATGTTGGAGTTTAAGACTCATGAGAGGACCTGCCATTGCTCCTGTTAGACACTCCTTAGGGTCATCCCAGGGCTCCAGCCCATTGAGAGCCTTTGGGATCCTGGCTTGGCTGCCCATCCTTGTGCTCTGCCTCCCAGCTTGTCCATCCACAGGTCTGAGCACTAGACCTCTCTAACTTCATCCAGGTCACCAATGAAAACATTGATCAGATCAGGGCCAAGGAAAGCCCCTGGGACGACGTGTCACCACGGGCCACCTGCCAAGGCAACCCGCCCCACTGCACCCTTAAGAGAGCCGTGCCACCCAAGCCCAGAGCCTCCCAAGCAGC